ATGTACCTCCTTCTGCTGGTAGTAATGGTGGTAGTGGTAGTGATGGTGGTAGTACTGTGGTGTGGTGTGGTAGAATTGAATTAGTGAGGTGAAGTGGTGGTAGTGGTGATGGTGGTGGTACTGGTAGTGGTAGTGATGGTGGTAGTACTGGTAGTGGTAGAGGTGGTGGTAGTGGTAGTGGTAGTGGTAGAGTTGCTGGTAGAGGTGGTGGTGGTGGTAAAACCGTGGTGGGATGTTGTTTAGAGAGGCAACACCTTCTGTTGTGGTTCCTGGCCTGGAGAGAACATCACAGACAACAATTTTACCTCCAACACACAAAATATATAAAAATACTAAAATATTTATCAGATTGAGTTAATATCGAGTGTTGGTGGCGGCCATTACAGGTGAGGGGGGGTTACCTGGTCACTCTGAGTCATTAAGAGACTAAATTTTTATTATTTCTTTGTTTACATTTCTTGATTGACGTAAGTAAACAGAATTATTAAATGATGTTGTGGTTAGTGTGTGTGTGTTATTGACTGTGGCCTGTGTGTGTGTGTGACTGTGTGTGTGTGTGTGTGTGTGTGTGTGTGTGTGTGTGTGTGTTGCAGGATTCTGACACTAAGGTGTATCCCGGTGTCGCCCTGGTAGGTTAAATACCACGACCTATTAATCTCCCTACAAGACAAGTAATCAGTTTAACAGGTAGGAGGAACACATCACAGGTGTATTACAGCTCAGGTAAAGGTGACAGGGCTGGATCCTCCACCAAGTTTGAGTCATTAAGTGGTGAGAATTCGACAAGGATTAATTTATTTTTTATTTTATTTTTATTTTTTATTGTGGGTAGAAGTCGTCGGGGTCTGAAGCATTCACTGTTTATCCTACAGGGGTCAGGAGTCAGGGGTTAGGGGTCAGGGGTCAGGTGAAGGCAAGAGGTCAGGTTCTGTAAAAAAAAATCTGTTCTGGACAAGCCGGAGCTGTAAGACCTCAGAGGTGCAGCTGTGTCCCGGCCAACGAACTGCCTGGTGGTGTTGTAGACGTTCTCTAACCTAACCTAACCTAACCCGTTAAGAAATATTAATGAGATAAATTCTTAAAGGAAGGAACATCAAAACTTAATTCTTCTTGGATCAGTACGGGGAGGTCATGACCTTTGACCCAGCACGTGTAGTCCAGCTGGTGACTACACGACCAGAGAGAGAGAAAGAATGGGGGGGGGGCAGGATGCGATTAGGGATTACTAGTTTAAACATCACTCTTGGAGTCCCATTCTTCTTCTTCCTCCTCCTCCTCTTGTCTTTATCTAACCATTCGTTCCTCCTCTCCCTACCCTTCTTCTCCTCCCCTTCCTCACTCTACCTACCTACTCTTTCCCTCCTCTTCCTACCTACATACCTTTCCCCTCCTACCTCTCCCTATTCTCTTTAGTTTATGGTCCGCAGACATGCTGTTGTCTCTGCTCGTACTAGGCGAGGATACAGGCCTCTCTAGCAGGTATCTGAGGTGGGGATGACCCGCACTTCTCTTCCTGTAACTGTCCGAACACTAACACTCTTCAACACTACTGCCTTCACTCTCCCACTGTCAAGGACCTCCTACCACAGGAAGTCATTAACCACTATATGTCACCACCTGCTAATGCATAATAATCTGTATATAATTGTTGTACGCTACTCAACTCACACCAATGTCTCCATAGTGTCCTGCGAGACCCGAGTACCATGTCTCGTGTCTGAACGCTTGTGGTCTAGTGACTAGGCTTGTCACCCCCTGGGTGTAATAAATTAATTAAATAATAAGTTCTAGTTTGAGTAAATTAATTTTCTGTAACCTATCGATATCATACAGGACACTACATAAGCCCGTATAGTTAAATCAGTGTAAGACTTCATGTGGGTCGTACACTTGGTTAACGCGTGCAAATATAATCGTAAAAAAAATATACTCTTGTTTGCTTATATCATTCCCTCAATAGGCTAAAACTGTTCAAAATAAAGAAGTTCTTTTATAACCAATTTGCCTTCACTTATAATTATATTTAAAGCTTTTACAAGATTTAAATCACTTTATTAGTGGTAAACCAACGCTGCCACAGTCTCGCTCTACCCACGACTTGTCAGCATAGTGCACGATAATTAATCAGCTTTCTTTATATACAGTTATATATGGTTACTCATGCATTTACTTAAATTTCTTTCATATATATCCAAAACAGTTTTGATCATTAGTCCTTCCCGGTTATGCTGTTTATCGTAGATAGATCAAAATGGGGGAGGAAATAAGTGATGAGTTTAGATAAAATTCGCCATTCAACGTATGTTTAAAAATTTAATTTTGCTTTTAAATAAAACAAATTTCTCGAAAAAATATGATAAAGTGATTTTAAAAGCATTTAAGTACTTCTTTTTATTTATCTTATACTGACCTTTCAATATTATTTTAGATTTGAAACGAAAAAATAATGTCCAAAGGTCCCGAACAACAAAAGCTATATTGGTAGATATTTCAATACATTTAGTCCCACGTACTGCACCCTGGACCACATTATACATTTTAAAGTATATGTATTTTAATATATTTATTATTAGACTTTATATTATATATTTATATCAACCGTATAATTATAGACTATAAGACCTACTTCACGTATCACAGAAAACGGAACCGCCCGGAGCTGATGACGTCACTGGTGCTCACACACGCTCAACATGTCGTCGATCACTCGCTCAGTTTTTGCGTGTTTATCACAAATTAGAAACAGGTGTGATATAACTTTCCATCGCTTTCTAAAGGATAAAGTACTCAGTAGAAGCTGGATTCACTTGTGCCAGAGGAAACACTATAAATGGTGAAAATTCTGAAATATGCAGCTTGCATAAGAATGGAGCAATACATCTGCCAATTTTTAAAGGTAGGCCTATGAACCCACCATTTATGTTTCCTTGCCCGTTTTTCCATTGGTTTACGCATGATCTTATACAAACACAGGATATTTAATAGCAATGATCCTGTTCCTATAAATAGCGTGGTAGCTTCGATGCACTAGGAGCCATCTTTCCCGTCCTGTTCCCGCCAAAAGTCACCACAGGCAGACTGGTGTCCGTCAGGGTTGCCAACTCGGGTCTTCACATGTCGCTAGGCTGGTACCTAAAAGTAGCTAATGTCGCTAAATCTTCCATGGAAAGTCGCTAGCTATTATTCCCCCCTTCAGTAATTTGATGGAAATTATATTTTCATAATGCCGACTATAATGGACGGAGTATAAATAAAATGCATTATGTAAAAATAAAAATATTTTTTTTAAAGTTTAATGTGCACACTTACCTATTATTCAATAGTAATTGCATCCCAGTCCTCTTGGTAGTGTGAACAACTGTAGAGCTGGAAGCATGTGAAGTGCTTGGTTCAGGTTCTCTTGTAACTGTATGCCTCCACAGTCCCTATCTTTCTTAAAATATCACTAGGAAGTTCATAACTTGCACAACAGGTGTTCTGTCTTTTTAACCCATACTTTATTGTAAGAATTGCCTTTAATGTCGATAGTTTCATTTTGTTGCGCAATTTTGATTTCACAAAGTTCATATTACTAAATGTGCGCTCTACATCTGCGTTTGAATGCGGAAGAGATAAGGCAGCGAGTGCAATTTCAGCCAGATCATGGTAAGGGTTTTCACCTGTCGCATCTCTGTAATTTGCCACTTCTGACCACAATTTTAGGGTGTTAGATGTTTCTGTCCAGATTGTGTGATGCAGTTTTTTCCACTGGAAATCAATCTTGGTAAGGGTGCTGGAATCTTCTGTAAATAAGTGTGCCAAACCAAGTATATCTGATTTAATAGGCTTCAAGCATTCATCGGCACTCAGAAAAGAAATAGACTGCAGCACACGAATGTTGTCAGGTAAGAGTTGACCAAGTTGTTTTATGAGTTCAACCCGTTCAAATGTATTGTCCCTGTAACCCCGTTGCTATATATTATGGCTCGAAATTAGGAAAACCGAGTTTTCATGGACAGTCCAAAAGTATCCAGAAAGTCGCTAGGTTTCTGTGGATATCTCTAGATTTGGGACAAGTCGCAAATCGCTCTAAAATGTCGCTAGAAAAAAACAAAAAGCTCTAGATGTAGCTACAAAGTCGCTAAGTTGGCAACTCTGGTGAGGGACACTCCACCACACCACCTACTGTAGATTGTTCCTTAATATTGATCCTTTTAATGTTTTTATTTTTATGGTATTTTGTTATTACATTATTATTATTATTATTATTATTATTATTATTATTATTATTGACCCGTGTCCAGGTGGGCTTATATATATACTGTATATATATACTGTATATATATATATATATATATATATATATATATATATATATATATACAGTATATACAGCTTTTGGAGGAGTGTCAGTTTTACTTTCTTCATGGCATAAGATGACTCGAGTTTGGCAGAACTTACCTGCATTAATCACTATAGATACATAAAGAAATATAAGGATATAAATCATAAGATAATATTAGACCAATATTTATAATGTAGACGATATTTAATAACCCAACCATCGTTACGTCATAACAGCTTACGTTGACTGTAATAAATGTTATACTCCCTCCCTTCTCCCTCCCCCCTCTCTCTCTCTCACTCTCTCTCCCTCCCTTCTCCCTCCCCTCTCTCTCCCTCTCTCTCTCTCTCCCTCCCTTCTCCCTCCCCCCTCCCTTCCCCTCTCCCTCCCTCACAGGGCGCCGCCACCAGCTCCTTACAGTGTCACACAGAACCCTGTTGATCTAATCGACTGGCAATTAATTCTACAGCCGGGAAAATTAGTTTTATACCTGTTTCCCATCTACCGTAGAGGAGGAGAGGGGAAGAGGGAGAGAGGAAGAGACAAGGTGAAGAGGGGGGAGAGGAGGAGGAAAAGGAAAGGAAAGGAAAAGAAAGGGAGGAGGAAGAGGGGAGAAGAGGAAGGGGAAGAGCAAGAGAGAAGAGGGGAAGATTCACTATATTTCGATCTGGGATGTTTATAAGTGTATGGTGGAACACTGGTGGACCATTGATGGACCACTGATGGACCACTGGTGGACCACTGATGGACCACTGGTGGACCATTGGTGGACCACTGATGGACCACTGGTGGACCACTGGTGGACCACTGATGGACCACTGGTGGACCACTGATGGACCACTGGTGGACCACTGGTGGACCACTGATGGACCACTGGTGGACCACTGGTGGACCACTGATGGACCACTGGTGGACCACTGCGGACCACTGATGGACCACTGGTGGACCACTGTTGAACACTGGTGGATGGACCACTGATGGACCACTGGTGGACCACTGATGGACCACTGGTGACCACTGATGGACCACTGGTGACCATTGGACCACTGATGGACACACCACTGATGGACCGCTGACCGCTGATGGACCACTGATGGGACCACTGGTGGGACCACTGATGGACCATGGTGGACCACTGGTGGACCACTGATGGACCACTGGTGGACCATGTGATGGACCACTGGACCACGCTGTGACCACTGGACACTGATGGACCACTGGTGACCACCGTGGACCGGACCACTGATGGACCACTGGTGGACCACGATGGACCATTGATGGACCACTGATGGACCACTGGTGATGATGACCACTGGTGGACCACTGATGGACCACTGGTGGACCACTGATGGACCACTGATGGACCACTGATGGACCACTGGTGACCACCACCGATGGACCACTGATGGACCACTGGTGACCCGACCACTTACCACTGGTGGACCGATGGACCACTGGTGATGACCACTGGTGACTGATGACCACTGGTGGACCACTGATGGACCACTGGTGGACCACTGTGACCACTGGGACCACTGGACCACTGATGGACCACTGACCACTTAATGCATCATGACCACCACAGGGTGGACCACTGATGGACCACTGATGGACCACTGATGGACCACAATGGTGGACCCACTGGTGGACCACTAATGGACCACTGATGGACCACTGATGTACCACTGGTGGACCACTGGTGGACCACTGATGGACCACTGGTGGACCACTAATGGACCACTGGTGGACCACTGATGTACCACTGATGGACCACTGATGGACCACTGATGGACCACTGGTGGACCACTGGTGGACCATTGATGGACCACTGGTGGACCACTGATGGACCACTGGTGGACCACTGATGGACCACTGGTGGACCACTGACACTCATCTCTCCAAAACACCATTCTCATACCTACACAATATATTCTTTCTGATTTACTCCTAAAAAAAGGTCCCACACCTTTATTAAGACCACAAGATGATAAATACCCCGTCAGGCGTCACCTGGTGGGCGGGGCAGACAGGTGACAATATCGACCGCTGTGTGAAAGATGGCGTTGTGTCGCTCTTGTTGTTTTAGTTATTGATAGATGGAGCTGTCTGGCTGTCTCTGTGACCTTAGGTGTCAACGTGATGAAAATGTTGACTTAAAAAGATTATTGATGGTCGTGTGTGGGTCGTACGGGGTTCGTATGGTCGTGTGTGGTTCGTATGGTTGTCGTGTGGTCGTGTGTGGTTCGTATGGTTGTCGTGTGGTCGTGTTTTGATTGCGTGCGTTGTAATTGTGTTGAGGTTATTCGTGGTTGTGTCGTGATTGTCTTAAAGTCGTCTTGAAACTGTCTCGTGAAGTCGTCTTGAAGCCGTATTGTAGTCATCTCATGGTCGTGTCGTGGTAGTGATATCTCAGCCGTGACCAACGACCCACGACCATCTCCCCACCTAAGATCAACCTCCTAATACCGTAATCACAGTCCCGGATTAGCGGTCACACGCCACCAGCAGAGGTTATCGGGCCCGACGCGCAAACACCGACCAGGGAAGACAAAAATATGACTTAAGAATTGTGTTTCATAGAGAGATGTGTGATCTAGTGGTGTACTGAGAAGAGGTGTTACGTGTTGTGTTGTGCAGAGGAAGAGCTGAGCTGGACGGTCGAGTTTTGTGTTGAATATATGATTAGACGGTCGAGTTTTACATTGACCGTAAGGATAAGGGGATGTCGTAATGTGTAAGGCATTGACAAAAGTTTATGAACGCAAGATATGCATTTCTACATTTATTTAAGTGTTTGTAAGAATGACCCTTTAGAATGTGTGTGTGGGTGTGGGTGTGTGTGTGTGTGTGTGTGTGTGTGTGTGTGTGTGTAGGAGGGTGAGGGATGGGGGCAGATATCAGGTGTGTTAACCAAAGGATAATTGGATTTTACAAAGGTGTTCTTCATTATGATGTTGTTACTGGAATGTGAGGTTGTTTATCTGATGATGGCCGTCCACACACACACACACACACACACACACACACACATAGACAGATATATAGACAAGAGAGTCAGACACATACACGTACACAGACATACACACGAAAGAGACACTCACATACACACACATACACGCGTACACAGACAGACAGACAGACAGACAGACAGACTGACAGACAGACAGGTACCGGCATCGTTATCTTGAGGGAAGAGGGCGGGGGCCGAGGGTATCCGACAGACCACAAGTGTCGGGCCGCCTCGGTAATCTCAAACATGTTTAACAGACGATCCCGACGGTGAGGCGAGATAAATTGACCAAGGTTAAGGAGAGAGACGCCAGGTGTATAGATTGTCATTATAATTGGAGGGAAGGAGGGAATGGTGGAGGGAAGGATGGAGGGAAGGGTGGAGGGAAGGAAGGAGGGAAGGGTGGAGGGAAGGAAGGAGGAATGGTGGAGGAAGGAAGGAGGAATGGTGGAGGGAAGGAAGGAAGGAATGGTGGAGGGAATGGTGGAGGGAAGGGTGGAGGAAGGAAGGAGGGAATGGTGGAGGGAAGGAAGGAGGGAATGTGGAGGGAAGGGTGGGAGGAAGGAAGGAAGGATGGAGGGATGGAGGGAAGGATGGAGGGAAGGGTGGAGGGAATGGTGGAGGGAAGGATGGAGGGAAGGGTGGAAGGAAGAGTGGAGGGAAGGAAGGAAGGAAGGATGGAGGGATGAAGGGAAGGATGGAGGGAGGGAGGGAAGGATGATGGAATGGTTGGAGGGTGGGGAGGAAGGAGATAGGGAAATGGACCACAATATATACATGTGGCCAGGTAAGTGGACCATAATATATACATGTGGCCAGGTAAGCGGACCACAATATAAACATGTGGCCAGGTAAGTGGACCATAATATATACATGTGGCCAGGTAAGCGGACCATAATATATACATGTGGCCAGGTAAGCGGGGCCAGAGATAACAAGAACGTCCGCCCGGCCCGCTGACGAGGCCACGACAGCCGACGCCACATTTAAATGCAAATCTCCCGGTTGGTGAGGCAGTAAATTAGTTCACACCTGAGCCTCTAAATTAACTAAACAACAAATGGTCTAATTATTCCTCTCCTAAACCAGATTACATCACCGGGTAGACCCTTGGCGGTAACACTCAAAGGGTTAAGGGTAGTAACAGCTCCCTTCCCCTTAGCAAGCACTCTATGGCCTTTCGTTAGTGGCCCCTAGTAAGTGTTCTGTCGTTCCTAGTTAGTATGGTGGGTCCTAGCAAGCAATATTTCGTTCCTAGCTAGTTTTCTGGTGTTCCTAGCTGGTGTGGTGGCCCCTAGTAAGCATGACTTAACCCCTTGTAGACGATTCCTTAACCTCACCTTCCTTGTATCAGTAAAATAATCCTATGATCCATCACTGTCTGGTGTGTGTGTGTGTGTGTGTGTGTGTGTGTGTGTGTGTGTGTGTGTGTGTGTGTGTGTGTGTGTGTGTGTCCACGGCTCTACACACCTTCCGTGGCCTGGGATGAAAGTTTAACGAGGCTAAACGATAATATAAAATGATCTCTAGTACAGCTGTGGAGGAGGGTGGTCGTAGTAGTGGTAGTAGTAGTCACCCCAGCAGCCGCCTTCTCTCACCTGACTGATAATATTTACCGCGTGTGAGAGAAGTTTTATTCCCAGGTCGTTCACCAGTCAAGTAACACAACACTACACTGTTCACTCTTATTGTTACCTTTATATTCTGTCCACCTGTTAGCCTTGGGACACGGTGCTCACTGCCCCGCCCTCCACAACCTGCTGGTGCCAGACGGAGGAATATGCAAATGACGTATTGTAGCTTGACACCTTCGCCAGGCCAAGCGATCAAGTGCCAGGATTTATGTGACTCCCTCGAGCCTATCGCCTGGCGTCATCGAGTCAGGATTTCCATTTACGACTCCGGGACACCTCGGGACCTCAGCTAGTGTCTTAGTTCTCAGTATTTGTCTACATTATGTGTTGGTGTCTCTTCTGTCCTGTTCCCATCACGCCCGTCTCTGATTGGGCGGCCGGGACCTCACAGATGGTCTGATTGGTGGGATTGGTGGGCTGTCTCATTCAGGAGAAGAAGGGGGTGGAGGAGGAGGAAAGGGGACACTACTAGCGCTTGTGTGTGTGAGGGGGCGTTGCAAGTGGGTAGGGACGATGCAGGTGAAAGGTAGGAGACGGGACGGTACAGGAAGGTGGCATATGAGCGAGGCAGGAACACACACACACACAACAACAACCTACAACCAACACCCAACCAACACTCAACCACAACAACCAACACGATATCAATCCGTTGACTCTCCTCTCCGTGAGACTGTAGGTTAGAGAACCACCATATTTACCAAACCACGGCCAAATAATCGTCTCATATTATTTCCACATTAACAACTACATGACTCCAATCCAACCAGAGAAACACCGTAACGTAATTTACATTCGTCACGGTACATGCGATAGGGCCATCACCTCCCCTACACACCTGTAATCATTTAGTGATCCCTGAGAGGCAGGTAGACGCAGGTAAACACGACGACGCCATACATTACCTGCTCGATTTATGTGATTTATATCCCATATTTAGGTGTATTTTGTTGGCCCTTCAGTTTGATTTAATATTTTAATGTTTATTTTAGTTTGTTTTGTTTCTTTTGTTTGTTTTTATTGTTTTTTCTTCTCCTTTTTTATTCTTAATGTCTGGACGAGGAACTTAACTAAGCTTAAGGTAAATGATTCCTAACCTAACCTAACCTAACCTAACCTAACCTAACCTAATCTAACTCCTCTTCACCTTGAGTTCCCTTGTGAATAATCTTGTTAAGTCTCAACGGATTATTAACGCTACCTGATTATTACCTGAGAGAGAGAGAGAGAGAGAGAGAGAGAGAGAGAGAGAGAGAGAGAGAGAGAGCGTGAGGAAAGGCTTAGTCGATTAACACAAATGAACCCTGTGTGTGTGTGTGTGTGTGTGTGTGTGTGTGTGTGACCTGCGCTGTATACTCGTGTACCATCCCTGTCAGTGACCCGTACGCTCAGGGATGTGTAGTGATGTGCGTGTTAGGTTAGGTTATGTGACTTATATGGTACATTAGCTATATTTATGACCTGTATATAAAACACACACACACACGCACACACACACACACACACACTCACACACACACACACACACACACACACACACACACACACAATGACGTTTCACTTTATTTAATTGAAAAAAACCTTTAATTCTTAATCTCTACCATATTAGTGACTATTGTAAGTGGATTATGTTGTATGAGTAGTTTATTGTACCCGGCCAGTGATGTGTTGTTATTATTATTATTATTATTATTATTATTGTTGTTTTATTATTAGTATTGTTTTTATTATTATTGTTTTGTTGTCGTTGTTATCTCACACACACACTCAGTAGTGATGGTCAGAGCACAATTACTCGCTTCGTTACAACATCAAAGCGGAGACCGACCTAGACACCCCTCTCTCTCTCTCTCTCTCTCTCTCTCTCTCCGTGAAGTGATCGCCATATCTCACCACAACAACTACGACAAGACTGACAATAAACCGTATTACAGAATGGATATAGAATCCTTGGAAAGAATCCAGAGGAGAATGACAAGACTAATCCCGGGCATTAAGAACCTTGTGTATAGAGACAGGTTAAAGCATCTTAATTTGCACTCCCTCGAGAGACGTAGAGCGAGGGGCGACCTGATAGAGGTGTATAAGTGGAAGTCGGGGCTAAACAAAGGGGACATTACAAAGGTTCTCAAACTATCCAACCGGGAGCGAACTCGTAACAATGGTTTTAAATT